AAAGGGATTAAAAAAACGTACGATCTGCCTATCTTGGACAGGCAGATCGCACTCTCGATCATCGCAAGCCCGCCCCCCTGAGGGGCGGGCTTCCGATGACCGCAATGCTGAACGGGCAGTGTGCGCGTGCGCACACCGGCCCGTTCAGCATTTGTCTTCCGAGCACCGTTCTAACCAGCCGAGAATCGTACGATTCCCGGCTGGTTTTCGAACATGCTGGTTCGACGGAAGACGTGCGACCGTACAGTAGAAACGGTCGCACGTCTCCGTTCACACTGCTCGATTCTCGTACGATCGCGGGATTTCCCGCGATTCTCGTACGAGAATCGAGCAGTGTATGGGCACCTTACGGCTAACATATCAATTATCTTCATGAGTCTCATTCAGGTAATTAAAATGCTTGTTTGGACAAATGACTGAATGCAACCGCATATAGATTGGACACAAAGCAAAACTTTTTTTGGTTTTGGATAAAGTGGTGAAGGGTTAAAACTCCTGTTTTTATTATCGTTTGTGTTGCCATTAGGGAGACTCACCCTCGCTATTTGCTCTGGTGATGACTCTTACCAGGACTCATCCAATAAAAAGAAATCCAGCGACAACTAAGAGGTGATTTACATCTCAATGTAGAGATTTACTCTCCCTTCCTGCTGGGTCTATTGTGTTCATAACATTTTTCTTTTAACCACTTGAGTCCCAGGTGCCAGTATAAAACAGTCCAGTGTCTCCCTGCGGCAATAGATGATTTTCAGCCAACAGTAGATGACTATTAGGTAGATCAGTATTAGACGTTATCTGTTACTGCACAGTTTCATGGGGGGAACCCAGAATAATCCCAACAATGACATTGGATGATCTGAATGATATTTGTTCTTACTGTGCAAGAGTCAAATGCTCATGTAAGTGAATGCAATGTCTTTTGCATTTCTAGTGATCAAAAAGCTGTGATAAAGCCATGCAAATTTGAGCCCTCGCCAACCCAAATTGATCTAATCTTAATGCAATGCTACCAATTTACACAATTTGATTTTTTACGATTCTTGAAGTGCAACACATCTGGACTTTTTTTCACTAGTACATTGTGGCCAAGTGTCACGCATTCAAAATGTCCTGCCGCCAGCCAGTTTTACACTGCTGTATCATCTACAGTCTCAGAATTCTTAATGAGAGCTTGACAGAAATGTGCAAGCAGCAGGACAGTTTGGCATCAGTGAGAACAGGGACACAGGGAACGACTAGCCAATTTCTATCTGCCGGTTACAGCGGGTCTATCTCATGAAAAAGCATGTGTCGCTGCTAGAACTACCTGAAAAAGTATTTTTTTAAACTGAAAGGTATCCCGGAAGGTATCGGAGCACTTGAGCGAGTACTCACCCAAATACTCGGTATCGGCACCGATACTAGTATCGGTATTGGTGCATACCTACTGATTAACAAAGAAAATAGAGATTTTGGAGATTTATATTTCCTAAAGAAGGTGTGCTGGTAATATTCATCCCATTATTTATTCTCTGCACCTGGCCACCACACTCTTTAAACCCCTACATTCATCAGTAATCTGGTCTTGAACTTCCCGTTCCTGAGCTTGTACAGTGCTGGATAAACATCCTAAAAGATATGGAAACCTTAGCTTTCCCATGAGCAGGGAGTGGGGTGTAAGGTAAGAACATTAAAATTATTCTTCTAGTATGTTTTATTTTATTTTTGTGTTAAATGCAGCTTTAGCACATGGGGCAGATGGCGTTTAAAGAAAAAAAAACCCCTAAAATAAAGTCCGCTTTAATAACAAAATATAGTAGAGCTAGCCATTTACTTTCTATTTTTTGCAGCCACAGTATACTAGTTTGCATTATATCAGGTTTCAGATATACAGTATATAGTCTCACACATGACTCTTTGGCCTTTTATGGTAAGTACATTGCAGTCAGGATTTGGAAGCAGAAACATTTAACCTCACCAGACTTCATGCTAAACATAAGCATTAATGACGTTTTTTTTACAGGATATTTTGATTTGGATACATTCAATTCTTACTTTTGTTTACTCCTACCAGACTGTATAACATACCATGAACTGCATATAGGTGCGACAGACACAGGAAGAAATTGTAAGTTACTTGTGTTCTGCAAGGAAGGAAATAAGCTAAATAAAAGAAACCTTTACCACACTACACAATAGGGTTAGCTAAAATAGAAAAAAAAAAAAAAAAAACGAGAAAAAAAAACATTTTTTTTTTAAAGAATAGTTCCTCTGTATGTGTGCATTTGTACACATGGTAAATAACAGAGTTAAAAAAAAAAAATAAGAAAGAGAAAGAAAATAACTAGGCTGCTTAATGTGTTGATTTCGTGAGAGCGAAAATGAAGATAACATCATGGGGGGAATAAAGACTTGCTCAAAAATGAAAACTGAGCTGAATTTGCTCAGGATATGCGAGTAATACCTCACATAGGTTTTTTAAAACTCTGAGTGGCGGTTTTATGTTAAAGTACATTTAAAGGCAACACTTTTTTTTTCTAATTTCGGATAGAGTAGGGGAGAGGTAAAACCATCTGTGCCTCATTAGGGAGATTTCCCTTAATTTCCTGTTCGGTAGACTCAACAGGAAGTGGGAGGATATCTTTCCAGTGTGAGATAAATCCCCTACATGTTAAAACAGTGTCCCCAGTAAAAGATCCCCTCATCCCCGTTCCTGTTCTGGTGACAACTAAAAAATGTTGGATTTACCCTCACTTTCCTTCCTGGTGACGTTGGTTGACAGGACAATTAGAGAGTGAATAGCAGAGATGCAGACAGCAATAAACACAATAGGTGACTCTGGGTTAGAGAAAAAGTATCACCAGATAATACAAATCCTTATTAAATCCCCCAGGGGACCAACTGCAAGAAGCACTTGGTTTCATTATCATCCATGGTCCTGTTGTGGAACTGGAATGCCAATTATTATTCTGTCTGTGCTGGTTGTATCGTCACTGGTGCCCGAACGAGAGGGGGGGGCATTCCGATAGGGGAAACAGCACTAAAGCCACTCCCCCACAGACTGTAAAAATGGATTTTGTGCATCTTATCCTGCCAGCATTGCCTGGTTATTAGCAACATAAGCGCTAGTAGATCAGCACAGTCAGGGCTGTATGTTCTATCTGCAGGTGTTGTGTATGTTTGCAAGCAGCTGGCAGATAGATCACACAGCCTGACAGCACTGACTGATCATTCACAATAGTAAAAGATGTTTCAGCGTTGCTGGGTAATTTATCTGCTGACTGCTTGTAAACATACACAGCACCAGCCCTGACCATGCTAAATGATCTTTAACAGTGCGTGTGTTGTGAATGGAGCTGTGCTGAATGACGGTGCTCGTCTCCAGAATGTGCCTCCTGCCAGAGACAACAGCTGTTGGTCAGCACTAGGGATGCACCTATACCGATACTAGTATCGGTATCGGTGCCGATACCGAGTATTTGGGTGAGTACTCGTACTCGCCCAAATGCTCCGATACCTAGCACGAGTACTTCCTGTATCAGGAAGCCGGGCAGCGCATCATTACACGCTGCTCGGTTTCCTGATTGGCCAGGAAACAGCTCCATGCTCTCTCGTCACTTGTGATGAGAGAGCATGGAGCCGACTTCCCGGCCAATCAGGAAGCCGGGTAGCGTGCAATGACGCGCTGCCCGGCTTCCCGATTGGTCAGGAAGCTAGAAAATCCAGAAGCCGGGCGCCGTGTAATGACGCAGCGCCCGGCATTCTGATTGGCCGGGAAGCCGGTGTCATGCTCCCTCGTCATCTCATGAATCATAATATTAAGAAAGTGACCTAAAAGCATTAGTTTGTATTGCTTTAGAAAAAATGTGACCTGTCCCTTTAAGAAAAAGTATCGGTAATTGGTATCTGCGAGTACTTGATCAAAAGTATCGGTACTCGTACTCGGTCTTAAAAAAGTGGTATCGGTGCATCCCTAGTCAGCACTTAGTCATCTGTCTCTTTTTGTGCAGCGTGGTCGGACAGAAGTGGGTGGAAGGGAAGGGCAAATTGTTGACCACGCTAGCTCAGCAAAGTTAACACAGATTAGAATGGAGCATTTGGCCCCTGCAGGATTTATTAAGAACTTTTTAAATGTCCAGTTATGTGGACAGTGTCCCTCGATGTCTTCTTGTACAATGTTGGATCAGCGGTCCTGCATTGTATGTGAGGAGATTGAGGGGCCATCCGCATTCTGGTCCTGCATTCTACATGATCTCATTGGATAGGCCAAAAACAGTTAAGTGTCTTTGTGAGATATTTCTGCAGCCAGTACGTGGAGGGGGAAATGTCTGGGGGAACGAGGAACACGGTAAATATTTCTCTACTCTTCACAGCTCCTAGATTAAATTAGCTATTAAACCATGTTGTCCAGATGTGAATTCAGTTACACAGATCTATCTTTTGGGATTCCTGAAATGTGTATGACACCTGTAGATGACTCAACAAACCAGCATCAACCAAAAATGGAAATATTAATTTGGATGGGGAGGCCCTTTTTAGCCACCCAAACAGAATCCAGCTGCAGTTACAAGCCCAAGTCAATAAAAATCAAACTTCTTGTTGAGCGTAGTGGGCTTCTCCTCTATTTTCTGTGGTTCAGATGTTTATAACAAACAAGCATCTTTTATCCGGATCTCCGACGGAAGACCCGGAAGCCGGCGGAGAGGTGAGTACGGGGGATTAATCGTTAATTTCCGCAGCCCTAATATTTTGTCATACCACAGCAAACTTTGCTGATATCCAGCTTATCCAGATCTATAAAAGTACAAGAATGAATTCCAGTTTGACAATAGAAAAAAAAACAAGTTTATTGGATGTTTCTGGGTTGGTAGGGTTACATACATTGTTAATGGGAGACAGCAGAGAAGATAGTTGGGTATAGTATATAACTTATGAACACTGAAACAGCATTAACCTTTGTATTCAGTTCAAAACAATGGTATCAAAGTTAGATCTATACTGTATATTTACCAAGACTATAGCAGAACTGCAAATGTTCATAAAAAATGGATTGTTACATGGCGAGGAATGATTGCTTTATTAGGTCTTCAAGCTGATATTGGCAAATGGCTGGAAGCACATTAGTTGTAAGTGCATATTGCTCTTAAATTCATTTAGCAGCTCTTCCAGTAACCTGTTGAAGAGAGATGTATGTTTAATACAAATTGCCTAATAATAATAATAAAACACAGGGGTGACTCTTCAACACAGAGTACAACAAGAGTACTGACATATACTGTACTGTATACTATAATCTGTGCAATATAAAAACACAAAGATCAGCTAAGCAGCCATTATTTTCCAATTCCTGTAATAAGCGACAATGATTTTTGTTCTGCATTCAAATCTTACAGTAACAGGTTATCCTGGTAGACTTTTGATGGACATGTCACTTTTAATGGACTTTAAGTAAGAAACAAAATAAAGCCTCAACTCTAGCTTTTTAAACATGAACACCAATAGTTTATTTTTTCCTTTCAGAAAACAGGGTTTAAACCATATCAATAAAATCTGACCTTAGTAAGCACCCCCTGTGATGATTACACTCTCAGATGCCACAGATGCAGCCAGAATGTGATATATTACACACCCAGGCTCAGCCTATGGAGAGACTTTCCAGCTCTAGGACAACAATCAAGCACCAGCAGACTGAAGGTGCCCATACACCTTACGATTATCATACGATAATCGTATGCGATCGACTTTTCGTACGACAATCGTAAGGTGTATGTGTAGTGCCCGACCGACATTACTGTACAATCGTACGACTTTTGACGTTCAAGCATGTTTGAAAAGTTTGGTCGATCGTACGATTTTTCGCAAGGTTGGTGGCGTTTCCGTCTGTCAAAAGTCGTACGATTAACACTGCTCATGCGCTAATGAAAATAAGTGCGGTCGATTACCGCAATTCGTCCAGGTGTTTTTTCTAACTACCGCTGATTGAACCTTGCGATAATCGGGGCAGGATGGGGGCCGCCGCACGACAATCGTTCGATCATCGGACGAAAGGTTTCAGGCCCAATACTGAACACCACGAGGTAGGAGGGAGCAGGCAGCCAGGATATGCAGCTATGACAGAAACAGCGCAGCCCCAGCACAGCATCTTACCTCCTGAAGATGCCACGATTCCCTCGACAGTCACCGCCAACACATACATACCCCTGCCGGGAAACGGTCAGACTCCAGGCCCTTCGAGGATCCGCAGCCAGGACGAGCAGGGGAGCGGTGGGCACAACGCCCCGACCGTAGTCGCGGCGCCGCCAGCCTGCGCGGAGTGCTGTGACAGGTAGGCCAGGACCTCCTGTCATATGCACTCCACCGGGACGAACCCGCAGGCGTCGAGAGGAACCGAATGTCGCAGCCGACCCACAGTGGCAGAGTCTGCATGCGCTCGTCGGTCACGCAGGAGAGACTACAAGGATCTAAAAACATCCAGCGTGTCACCCTGGTGACACTTGCTTGAAGAAACAGTGAAAAAAATGGAGGAAAAGAAAACAATTTCCAGAGAAAATATTTTTTTAGCTCCTTACTCCTGATGCTAAGCAAAAAACTGGAGACTTGTCAGCAAGTGAGGGGTTGGGCCGCCAGCAGGGGCCGCTCCTAGGCTGTCTTTTTGTTATGTGCCTAGCGTCCTACTCCTGCAGGAGGCGATATACCCTACCATTCAGGATCTACGATCTGTTGCCCTGTGTCCTTCAATAAACGGGAGAGAAATAAGTGCAGTCAATTACCGCAATTCGTCCAGGTGTTTTTTTCTAACTACCGCTGATTGAACCTTGCGATAATCAGGGCAGGATGGGGCCGTCGTACGAAAATCGGTTCGATCATCGGACGAAAAGTTTCGTCCGATAATCGTAAGGTGTATGGGCACCTTGAGAGAGATCATCAATTGGGGCAGGTTTACTAGGCAGTTAACCCTATAAACAGACGTATAATAGCCACCACCACATGTTTTAACAGAACTATGCACCATTCACAGCATCTGCTGTTGCAGTTCTGACATTTACAGAAAATTTACAGAGTTTACATTATGGTCGCTCTTCACAGAAGGTTCTCTGATTTCTAATGCGAGATTTCAGGGCTAGTTCACACCAGCTACAGTGTGTTCTGGCCAGAAAGCAATGGATCACATTGCGTCCGGCTCACTTTGTTGTGGGGTGGGAGGGGGCGTGGCAGTGCATTGAAGTGAATGGCACAGCAGCCACGCCCTCCGGCCGCAATGCAATCAGCCGCACAAGCACATCAATGCCTGCAGTCCGGTCAGAAAAAATGCTGCAAGCACTGACCGGACCGGAACGCAGGCATTGATGTGCCACGTGTTCCCGTGTGGCCGATCGCATTGCGGCCGGAGGGCGTGGCTGCGGTGGCATTCACTTCAATGCACTGCCACGCCCCCTCCCACCCCACAACAAAGTGAGCCGGCCGCAATGCGATCCAGTGCGTTCCGGACAGAACGTATTGTGACTGGTGTGAACTAGCGCAACAATTTTTACATTCCATTTTAGTAAGAGGAAAGAAAAACATGCAAGAAAATATTTACAAAAAATATATTACAAAACAGAAATAAGCAACAATAAAATGAAAGTGGTTCAAAAATAAAAAATAAATACTTAAGTTCATCTGGTCTTTGAAGGGGTTAACACACCAAAAAAAAAGAAAAGTTGCAGATCCACACCAAATCGCGATGATTGACACACGCTGACCTGTCTAAACAACACATGATGACCGACGAGATCATGCGTTGACACTCACCACAAATGATATTTCTGCAGCCAGCAGCTTAATGTAAAGAGGCAGGGGATCTTGGGTGACCAACAATTATCCCCTACCCAGCAAGGTACCCTCCCATGTTGAAGTCATGTGGCCTAGTATGGTTCAGGGCTAGTTCACACCAGATGCAATTGTGATGCAGTCTGTTCAGTTTGGCAGCTGCATCAAAAACGCATCACATTGCATTTCCTATGGGATTTTTGGTGCTCTGTTCATACCAGTGCAGTCCGTTCCGATACAGTCAGAAAAAATACTATTTGCCTATTTTAGCTGCATCGGATCGCAACGGAGCGCATCAAAACACATAAACACATGCAAAGGCATTGGAATGCATCCAAAATGAAAGAAAAAAAAGCAGATTTGCAAGTGCTCTGACAGAAAGAAGGAAGTATCATAATGGTCTAATTCACATTTTGAAAAAAATAAAAAACTTACATCAGATCTTGTGAAAATTGTGGTAAAAATGCCCACAGTAAAAACGCACGCAGTTGTGATGCAGTTCTGGTGTGAACCAGCCCTGGTGAGGTGGTGGTGGGGGTTTGCTACCCCTCCCTTTCTTGGCCTGCCGGGCTGCATGTTTGGATAATGGTCCGATGTGGAAGTTTAGTATTATGGTATCCCCCAAGCATGTTACTTAGAATAGAAAGAAGTAAGAAGAATTGTCAAATCTGATATGCTGCCATTTAATCCTTTTTAAAAGAGCTGCTCCCTGCTGAATAGTATTTTTTTTTACAGTTTGCACATGCCCCCCCCACCACCCCCTATGGCAGTACCTGGCTGCCCATGCCCTTTCTTCCCAAAAGCTTGAAAATTGCCGTTGAAAAAGGGCAGAAAAAAATTTCAATATTTTGCTCCAACAAACTTTGGGAATTGCCACTATGTTCAGGGTTTTTTTTTGTAACTGTTAGGCGAAAGTCCAGCCAACCAAACTACTACCCACCAGTCACCAGAGCTTAATATCTTACTGCTTCTGTTAAAGACTTGCACTTTTTAGAGAAAATGAGAATGGCGCAGTGTTTAGTATAGCTTCCTCATTCTCCATACACACTTTTGGATTCCTCAGACCACAGTATTGTCACACCTCAGGTAGTAGTATATGGTTATTCCCAACCATGTAAGTACCACATTAACTGGACAGCTTGACATGTTACTGGAAGTGGAATAATAATAATAATATCTCTACTGGCAGGATCTACAGGTAATAAAACTATGTTACAGGCGTACTCAGAAAAACAAAATGTCTCTGGTAATGCTAGTGACAGACTGCATCATACATGACATTTTTTATTTTGCCGATACTTACACAGCATTTCTGAAAAGTATGCATTTCTAACACTAAAGACCTAAAAATCTGTATCACCCAGCTTGGAAATATTCAGACAAAATATCCTTTAGTTGAGTTATCTCTTACGGTTTTAATATAATAAAGTAGTGAGTATGGTATTCTAAAAATGCTAGTTAGCTAGTTGTCTCCAGCTTCAATACTGGGAGACACTGACCCTGAACAAGTATGAAACCAGAAACTCAGAACACCAGATCTGCATGCTTGATTCCTGACTGCAAAAGTGTTGAAGCCAACAGAGTATAACGACAAATAATGATGTCGTTTTCATAGGAACAAATGCAACATACAAGGAGCAGATACATCAGTGGAGACACAGATAAAAAAAGAGACTTGTATCATGAGGTAGCAAAGCAGACATAACAAAAGGACAGAAAGGAAGTCATGTCTGTAAGTGAACTTGCTGAAGCACATCAATCATAAAGCATAGGTTAAGCTTTGATAGAGGAGCTTGAAAAAAAAAAAAAGGAAACGTCAATGCTTCATTGAGTGCTAGCACGGTTTCCAATTAGCGGAAGTGAAGCTAGTGTGGGTCAGTAACCAGTTAGAGAAGTCACTTATGACAGGTCCATACAATAACCACTGTTTGATGTATGCGCTAGCCATTTCACATGGAAAACTAATCTAGGTTCCCCCTGTTATTGGGTGCTGATGTATAAGAAAGTGTTTCTATACTTTACACATATGCCAGTCTTAAATGAATAAGGATAAGCTAACGCAAGGTATTTAGGGAGTTGCGTTGTAAGCTGGTGGAAATTACTCACTTCTTGTCACTGCCACTGGGAAGTTGAGGAAGAGCTTCCAGTGCTTGTTTGAAACTGGATCTGTGTAACAAACAGCAAACGTATAGGTTATGCATTTCACAACATAGAACAACATCAATAAGCTTGCTCCCCTTTATTAACTTTCTGTTACTCATATAACCAAATTGTTTCTTAAGGGACCTTTCAGGTGCTTCAATGATAGACCATGTATGTTGTTTCATAAAATAATACATTTTATTTATGCATACTTCCAAAATTGATCAAGATTACATAAAAAATATGCCCGCATATAACATATGGCATTCACAAGATACTTTTGCTATTGCTTAATATTACCCTTGACAATCCCACCAGCGGACTATACAAATATAATGTTCATCAATAAAAAGAAGCATTGCACCTCTATTATTACACTGAATAATAATGGTGGGTGGAGGGTATGTATACATCCTCAATCTAGAGAAAACAAACAGCTATGTCTAAGCACAGTCATAAAAAGGCACCCTCCCAATATGGGGCCAGTTGACAAAAAGGTGAGGGAGGGGGAGAAAAAGAGGGGTCGAATAGATTAATTCTAAGCGTATTAACCAGAAATATTCTTAGCAGGTACATGATCAGCCAGTTTTGACTCCTCTTTCTCTCCCCCTCTCTATTTTGTCCATCAGCCCCATATGTTTACTAGTTATATTTGCATTTTGGATGTGGTGCCCTGACCCACTGAGCTAGTCCATTCTCATGTCTATTATAACTTACATTTGCTTGCTAGTGACGATGGGAAAAGCTGATCAGCCAAGAAACATGATATGGTAACAGATCTCTTTGAATTTAGAAGTCTATGTACTTGTGAAGATGCCACAATTCTGCAATGCCATTCTTTGCATAGTGAGCTAAACACAATTCCACTGGGCAAACAAACCTACTACAGAATTTACATAAAGTAACTTACAAAAACAAAAGTTTTAAAAACGTTACTTTTTAAACAGAATGCGGAAGGGAAAGAACATCCATAAGGCTTTTACTGCGGTCTTTTTCCTCATTGGAGAGATTTCCTATCACTTCCTGCCTGTCTTCCTATCACAGTGACATAAAGTGAAGGGAAATCTCCCCAAAAGCCTGAAAGAAAAATCGAACTTTTCACCACTCTATCCAAAAAACAAAAAGAAACAAAAAACATCCTTCAAAGGGGGCAGTATTTATCAATATACATTTGAACTCCTGTTGCAATCCACAGAGCAAAAATATTTTACTGCCATGAAGTTGCCTACAGAGACAGTTTAGAATAACAGACCACCACAACTTTCTCTGTGCCCCTATGTGACTAGACTAGGTACCTGAGCACCTGGGAGGAAGTGATGTGAGTGGGCTGCTCCCCATACCCCAAAAGTACCAGGTTTATTTATTTGCTCCTGATTGCCAATCAGAGCAGCATTAGAAAGAAGGTAGGGTTCGAAGAGAGAAGATAATGGTGTTCAGCTGGGAAGGGTGGCGGTTATGTGAGCCTGTCCTGCATGGACAAAGCACAAGTTTACTTTAAGCTTTAAAAAGATATGGAATGCTGCTAGATTCTAAAGAAGCAGAAAAGCAATTACCTGGCTAATAGCTACTAATGATGAGCCTAGCCTTGGTGGGAACCCTGTTCATCTCAGTTTACCCAAGCCTGCTCCAAACTGTGACTGCCACCACCTCTTCCCAACCCAATCAGTTGTGGAGAGGTGCAGCCATACGTCACAAGGGCCACTGGTTGGGCCGGGGGAGTTATTGAGCAGGCATGGGAAAACTTAGAGGAACTGGGTTCATACCAAGCCCAGGCCCATCTCTAATAGCTACCCTAACACCTGACTGGAAAATCTGAGAATGCATAGGAGATTCTGCTGGTACAAATGTTCCTGTATCTAGGAGCATCCTCACATACAGTAGATATCACAACATATACTGCAAATCTATTGTATATTAACAGACTCTGCTTAGAAATATCGGCATGATCTACTGTCATACAGGAGTGTAGATACTCAAGCATGGAGTCGGGGTTAAGCAAATGTCTTAAGATTCACAAGTCTGTTGGGGAAAGTTAAACTGTTTTCTTATAATTACTTCTGATATTTGTCACAGCCTTCTCAGCATCAGACATGTTATGTTGTCTCTGGTTTTTGCAAGGTGTACACCAAAGAAAAAGTAGTTCTTGGTTCCCATACATATATCTGACAGAAGGACACATACTTACTTGCTGTCTTTTGTCAGATAAATAGCTACTGCATCTGTCAGCGAGCAAATTTCAAGTCGTGCCTGATGAGAAAAACAATTTGTTACTTTCTGAATAATAATAAATGTCCAGTTACACTTTTCATAATGAAACCAATTGCTGTTTTAGTATTTTAAGCATGTGGTGGGCAACTGCTAGCAGATAATCAAGTCTACAACATCAAGGGATATACACTTCTGGACACTGGTAGAGAAAAGGAAAACAGGAATATGCCGCAGTGATCGGCCTTCTCAAGAACTCACCCACCCAGGGCATAGCACTGTTGCATTGCAGAACTGAGCACTGAGGGTCAAAAGCCAACCAGGCTTTTTCCTGCATGCAGTGTGTTTCTGCAAGGTGCAAGAATCTCTCCCCAATTAAAAAACCTACTGTCTGGTACACTGTTTTTCACCCTAGAATGTTTATGAGTGCTTGGGAGATTAACCCTGTGATATGAACCGCAAGCTCTTTGTGGAAGGAGTTCATGTTAATGTGAAAAAAGATAATTTGGGCACAAAAAAAGTTATTAGTTTACTGCGTGTGTCTGTGTACCAGCATGTCTTTGGAGTATTGGATGAATCCAAAGAACCTAAAGAAAACCCATGCAAGCACTGAGAGTACATGCAAACTCCATGCAATAAATATCCTGGATGGGATTCAAACTGAGGAGCCCAGTGGTACAAGGCAAAAGTGCTAAGCACCAAGACAAGTGTGTTGCCCACATATGTCAAATAGCAAAAATAAAGTGATCAGAACATGGACGCACCTGTATTGCTCCATTCCTGCTAAAGGATGATACACATTGCATGAGCCTGCTTAGCTCTTCCGCTACTGCTTCCACGATCCTTGACATTACTCTGGGGACAAGTTCTTTAGAAATTGAGAATACCTGGAATTGTCAATATCAATGTTAAATATTTACCTTATCATGCTAAAGATTCCAGTTACATGAACATGACCAAACTGGTGACATTTCAGTTAGTATGACATGTAATCAATGTCCTATTACTGGTATGGTTGTCTCATTAACAAGTAGAGAGTTTGTGGCATAGGGGTATTGCAAAATAAGGCCACTTGGGACTGCTGGAGCTTCCAGAGAGTCTGATTGGGTTAAACAGGAGTCATAATTAGGGTTGCATAGATACCAAGTACAGTACTCGGTACAAGTACGAGTACATGTACCGATACTTTTGAGCTCCAAGACTACACTAGAGAAAAATTCAAAAATTAGGAGGCAGCTGTCATTTGTAAGGAGCACACGGAGCTCCTGGGATTTGTACATCTCTGTTTTAATGTACGATTTTGTTTTTATAAATATAAATAAAGGGATGCACAGATACCAGTTTTACGAGTACTGGTACTTGCAGAGTACTTACAAGTACGAGTACTGATACATTTGTGTTTATTGTCACATGACAGTTTTTCTAAAACAATACAGATAATGATTTCAGGACAGTGGTGGAGCACCAGAGCCAGGTCTCAGCTGCAACCGCTGCAACCCTGGTAGTTCTTATGAAAATGCCAAGTATCGGCATTGGTACTCGAAAAGTATCTGTGCATCCCTAGTCATAATGCATTATGGTGTTCAGCTGGGAAGGGTGGCGGTTATGTGAGCCTGTCCTGCATGGACAAAGCACAAGTTTACTTTAAGCTTTAAAAAGATATGGAATGCTGCTAGATTCTAAAGAAGCAGAAAAGCAATTACCTGGCTAATAGCTACTAATGATGAGCCTAGCCTTGGTGGGAACCCTGTTCATCTCAGTTTACCCAAGCCTGCTCCAAACTGTGACTGCCACCACCTCTTCCCAACCCAATCAGTTGTGGAGAGGTGCAGCCATACGTCACAAGGGCCACTGGTTGGGCCGGGGGAGTTATTGAGCAGGCATGGGAAAACTTAGAGGAACTGGGTTCATACCAAGCCCAGGCCCATCTCTAATAGCTACCCTAACACCTGACTGGAAAATCTGAGAATGCATAGGAGATTCTGCTGGTACAAATGTTCCTGTATCTAGGAGCATCCTCACATACAGTAGATATCACAACATATACTGCAAATCTATTGTATATTAACAGACTCTGCTTAGAAATATCGGCATGATCTACTGTCATACAGGAGTGTAGATACTCAAGCATGGAGTCGGGGTTAAGCAAATGTCTTAAGATTCACAAGTCTGTTGGGGAAAGTTAAACTGTTTTCTTATAATTACTTCTGATATTTGTCACAGCCTTCTCAGCATCAGACATGTTATGTTGTCTCTGGTTTTTGCAAGGTGTACACCAAAGAAAAAGTAGTTCTTGGTTCCCATACATATATCTGACAGAAGGACACATACTTACTTGCTGTCTTTTGTCAGATAAATAGCTACTGCATCTGTCAGCGAGCAAATTTCAAGTCGTGCCTGATGAGAAAAACAATTTGTTACTTTCTGAATAATAATAAATGTCCAGTTACACTTTTCATAATGAAACCAATTGCTGTTTTAGTATTTTAAGCATGTGGTGGGCAACTGCTAGCAGATAATCAAGTCTACAACATCAAGGGATATACACTTCTGGACACTGGTAGAGAAAAGGAAAACAGGAATATGCCGCAGTGATCGGCCTTCTCAAGAACTCACCCACCCAGGGCATAGCACTGTTGCATTGCAGAACTGAGCACTGAGGGTCAAAAGCCAACCAGGCTTTTTCCTGCATGCAGTGTGTTTCTGCAAGGTGCAAGAATCTCTCCCCAATTAAAAAACCTACTGTCTGGTACACTGTTTTTCACCCTAGAATGTTTATGAGTGCTTGGGAGATTAACCCTGTGATATGAACCGCAAGCTCTTTGTGGAAGGAGTTCATGTTAATGTGAAAAAAGATAATTTGGGCACAAAAAAAGTTATTAGTTTACTGCGTGTGTCTGTGTACCAGCATGTCTTTGGAGTATTGGATGAATCCAAAGAACCTAAAGAAAACCCATGCAAGCACTGAGAGTACATGCAAACTCCATGCAATAAATATCCTGGATGGGATTCAAACTGAGGAGCCCAGTGGTACAAGGCAAAAGTGCTAAGCACCAAGACAAGTGTGTTGCCCACATATGTCAAATAGCAAAAATAAAGTGATCAGAACATGGACGCACCTGTATTGCTCCATTCCTGCTAAAGGATGATACACATTGCATGAGCCTGCTTAGCTCTTCCGCTACTGCTTCCACGATCCTTGACATTACTCTGGGGACAAGTTCTTTAGAAATTGAGAATACCTGGAATTGTCAATATCAATGTTAAATATTTACCTTATCATGCTAAAGATTCCAGTTACATGAACATGACCAAACTGGTGACATTTCAGTTAGTATGACATGTAATCAATGTCCTATTACTGGTATGGTTGTCTCATTAACAAGTAGAGAGTTTGTGGCATAGGGGTATTGCAAAATAAGGCCACTTGGGACTGCTGGAGCTTCCAGAGAGTCTGATTGGGTTAAACAGGAGTCATAATTAGGGTTGCATAGATACCAAGTACAGTACTCGGTACAAGTACGAGTACATGTACCGATACTTTTGAGCTCCAAGACTACACTAGAGAAAAATTCAAAAATTAGGAGGCAGCTGTCATTTGTAAGGAGCACACGGAGCTCCTGGGATTTGTACATCTCTGTTTTAATGTACGATTTTGTTTTTATAAATATAAATAAAGGGATGCACAGATACCAGTTTTACGAGTACTGGTACTTGCAGAGTACTTACAAGTACGAGTACTGATACATTTGTGTTTATTGTCACATGACAGTTTTTCTAAAACAATACAGATAATGATTTCAGGACAGTGGTGGAGCACCAGAGCCAGGTCTCAGCTGCAACCGCTGCAACCCTGGTAGTTCTTATGAAAATGCCAAGTATCGGCATTGGTACTCGAAAAGTATCTGTGCATCCCTAGTCATAATGCATTAATACATAGTCAACGAGTGGAATACATACAGCCCAGCTATCAAGAGCAGTGAAAATTGATGTTTTCTGTACATTTAATTGACATTGTCTACATTTGCATGGTGGATGCTGTGATATTACTCCCTGGCACAGAATGGCACAAGGAGGCTTCACACTGAACTACAGAAAACAACATACAAGATTCAATTGATAGGTTAGCTCAGCACTGACTAAGTTTGGCCACAGACTGACACGATTTAACAAATATTTCTACAAAATGGACTATATTGCAGCAATCTAGGCATAAAAATGACCACTGGCAACACGTACAATGGGAGGTATTACTCAAAATGATTCTCCAACTTGTCAGAAATTCATTTTCTACAGACAATGCATTCAGAATCATTTCATTATTGGTACAGTCATTTAACACAGCCTTTCACAGTCTAAAAGATATCTACTACCTTTCAAAGTGAAAAAGATTTAAAGATTGACTAATTAATTACTGACAATCATACAAATAGAATAAACCTATAGCAAACAGTGCTCTGTACTTCCTGAAAATGTTGCAAAAAGTTGCAATGCATTATATTTTGTTCTTGGGTTTAGATATTCTTTAGGCATCACATAGAAAAGAACTGACACCAGGAAGAGCTTGGCGCACACCTACCTCTGCATGTACAGCAATGATGTTCACTAATGCCTCCTTCAAATAGTTCCTCACACCTGAAACAGGCAGACAAAGACGTTAGCTGCATGATAATACATCATAATATATATACGAATAGATATGCAGTAAAGACAAGAAAAAGAGTAATATCAGAGTCAGTCAATTTAAACTGGGTGGTTCAACCTTACTAGATAGCAAAAGGACCAGTACGTACGTACGTACACACACACGCACGCACGCACACACCTCTTACATATTTCGGTTTGTAGTTTTATGTGCCTATTAATAGCTATGTTCTGTTGTGCCATTACATAATAAATATAAAGTTACAATTGATGGCTGATTTTTGATTTTCAGCTTAAACCCATTGGTAACCGCAATAACACTTTTTAAGTCCAAATATAAAATGTCTCTTGCCACAAGAACATTAATGAACTTTGCAGCAGAGAACAAGAAATGTGCAACTGTGTGTATTCCCAGTTCTCAGACCTGAAAATTAGTCATATGGTTTTTGTGAAGGTAACTGACCCATGCCGACATTAAACTTGGTCTGGGTGTCTCAAATTCAAAATGGCCACAAAAGGGTTCTTAAACTGGAAAACAACTTTTTGCAGTGAACAGAATCTGAAAATTAAAAAGAGCATGGTACCATAGACAGGAAGACTGATGGCTGAATAATTTGACTAAAGCTGGCCATATACTGGTAGATTTTCATACGAGAACATTTGATAATGCCATCAGAGACTTGTAGAATGTTTGCGCTAATATTGCGCAACATAAAAATTTGCAACTACCACCATTTTATTCTATAGGGTCTTGGCATTCAGAAAATATATAATGTTGGGGGGTTTTAAGTAATTTTCAGGCCTAAAATGTGGAATATAACATACAACGTACAAAAAATGAAAAAAGGCCTCAGTCATGAAGGGGTTAATTTTTGTTAGGGTTTACAATTTCAGAGTTCCGGGGTTCGATTGTGTTGCCAGGAAGTGGAACTGAACTATAAAAGTGAAGACTTGCTGTGTTATAGGAAACATTTAAACATGTTAGTTTTCCCTAAGCAATCTACCTTTCATTTTGAATCCCTAAAGGAAAATTGTAGTTGACTTCTAGGCATGTGAGGGTGCCTAAACATTTTTATGCTTGCAGCCCCATTGCTGTGTATCTGCAGTGTGAGATCTAAGGCACTGCTGCCTCTGACTGCTAGTCTCAGGAGATTTGGAGTGAGATTAGGTGATGTCACTACTGTGCTTCTCACTCTTCTCTTCTCTTTTCTGGAGACTCTAACATGAGTAAGTAAAGCCTTGTCTCTACCAAGATGGCCATCTCCATACTGAGACATAGTGCAGAACAAAGCATGCTAAATCAGTAATGGACAAAAGATCAGCTGCAAGGAGACCACAGGCAATACTGGCGACTAGTTCTTTGCCTTCTGCCTTCCTTTTTTGGGCACAGCTTCCAGAGTTCAGTTTCTCTTTAAGAGTCTGATGTCATAACACCAGCTTTGTCACATTATTGTATGTACAGTAAATACAACTTTGTTACTGGGTCATTCCAGCAAAAATGTGTATGGTCCTTTATCATGGCTTGTTTAAGAGATATGTCAAGGCAGATGACAGGGCATCTCTGCAATCAATGCGTATTACCCCGTGTTTTGTCATTTTATCTCTTCAAACACAATGCAATTACAAAAACAATCCTCATGGATCTGCCAGGATAGTTGGGACCTACCTTCCAGTTAGCTCTTAGGTCCTAAAGATGGGGTGTCAGCCCTGCCTACTTCATATCTAAAGGGTTACAAAAAAGACAAAGACCTCTCTTCACCCCCTACCTCTTTCTTCTCACCTCCATAACCCCCCTCCATATGCACAGGAAGTGATCAGCTCAAAAGATATAGTTACATAGTATTTGAGGTTGAATAAAGACACAGGTCCATCAAGATCAACCTATTGTGTGTATGTTTGTGATTCTGCATGTGTATGCTTGTGTACCAGTCCCCATGTGATCTTATTTTTTTTACCTGTACCCCTGTATGTTCCGGTCTGAGGAAAGTGTCCAAATGTATTTTGAATGATTCAACACTCTCAGCTGATACCACTGCTTGTGACAGAGGGTTCCAGACCCTAACCGCTCTGAGAAGAAGCCCCTACGCCCCTTGTGCTTAAATCTTTTCTCCACCAGCTTTAGGTGGTGGCCTCTAGTCTTTGATATGGAGATATCTGGAACAATCAAGCAGTACATTTTCTCACAGGTATATTTTTTTGCACTTCTCAAACAGATATAAAACCAAATGCTTTCAATGGTATATTTAGCAGAAGGGATCAAAGAGACGTTTATTGTAAAGGTTTACATATTTGCTCTCACAGGCAGGGCCCTTCTAACCATCTGGTTTTGACTTGGATTGTAACTGTAATGTCCTCCCTATATTTTAAAGCGCTGTGCAAACTGTGGCACTATATAAATCCTGTATAATAATAGTATATAATATTCCAATAAGGTTGAAATACTGCCAGTTTGCACCCTTATTCTCGGAATGCCATACGCACTAGAAATATTGATGCCCAGCACTAAATAGCAGTCTCTCACTTAATGTTGCATGCTATTTATTGCAGAACCTGGTGGTAAGTGATGGAAGGAAAGAAAAATCAATGTTGAAAGTCTATTTTTACTCAGTTGTCACCAATCTGGCTTTGCTTCTTTGAATCATTATGTATACAATAACATACTTAAAGTCAAGGCTCAAGAGTATGACTGGTGCAGGAATGAAATCTTTTTGTGGATACAATACATTCTTCTATACTAGCTCCTTGGTAATTTAAAAATATTACAAACATTTTGCTCAATTCCACCTTGTTCAAGTAGTCACTTACACCTCAGCTACAAGCTCCGTTCTTAATGCACGGGGTTACCTCTGAGACATTTCTGTACTAACAAGACCAGAGTGAGGAGGCTTGTGGGTAGGTTTTAAAGAAGTTACACTTTCACATTAAGGCATTACTTTACGTGCTCTTATGACATACATATTATTACTGTCAATATAACCACTACTTTAATTTTTATTTCAATGGATCTATGCGCCATATTGACATTACACAGAAACAGAAGCAAAAGCAGGAAAAATGCAGCATGTCTTACAGAAAAGCAAGACCATAACATGAGTCACTTTTTTTTTACTACAACAGTGCTAAAGCCAAAAACCCATTTGCAATGTTCTAGTGAATGACTAAGAAAATTCACAACTATTTGTGAGTTCCAATAGGCTCCTGGAAATTACATATTCATACTTGTAAATGTGGTTAGATATAACAGTGCAAACTGTTAGATAGAGAAGACTACAGTCTGCATGGACATTAAATATATCTGTGCGTACTGCTTAGGCTCTGAATTACAGATCAAAGCCCACAGTTGTGCGCAAAAGTTTGCATACCCTGGCAGAAATTGTGACATTTTTTGGCATTAAATATTGAAAATATGACTGATCATGCCAAAAAAACTGTCTTTTATTTAAAGGAGAACTATGAGGTGAGTGATTTTCACTCATCCTCAGAGTTAGAGCCGACGTGTGACAATGAAACTGTCACATGTCGGCTCTGTAGATCAGGAAGCTAACGGACGCATACCGTCGCTCGCTTACTTCCCGATCATCTCCCTGCAGAGAGAGGTGACTGGCAGTAACTGCTCCCCGCAGGGGTTCCCTCCGCCCCTCACCGATCCTCCAGCGCTGACTGGTAGAACGGACAGAGGAGGGGGCGGCACAGCTGTCTCTGACTCTAGCTAGGCAGGTAACTTACACAGCTGGGTGGATCTCGACAGTATTGTCAGGATCTGTCCCGGGTGCGGCGCTCAGTATATAGCGAGCTGTAGCTTGCTATATACTAAGCTTTGGGTCACGGGAGGACGTTAGTTTATGTCCTCCCGTGACCCTTAAGAGAACTATGGGATAAAAAGGTTACCCCATAGTTCTCTTTTAAGGATATCATATGAAGCCATTTATTATCACATGATAACAAAAATCACCCAAATGGCCCTGATCAAAAGTTTACATACTCTGGAATGTTTGGCCTTGTTACAGACACACAAGGTGACACTTAGGTCTCGTTCACACCTAGGCGTATTGCATATGCGCGCCTGTCGCGCGGTTTTTTACCGCGATTTGCGGTAAAAAAGTTGCGCGTTTCCGAAGGCTACTTGGCTGTATCCCAATGGAAACGTGCAACAAAATGGCCCAAAGTAGTACCTGTACCTTTTCAGGCGTGGGCCGTTTTGTAGCGCGTTAGGGACGGGCGGAAATACGCCAAGGTGGGAACGAGACCATTGAATACAATGGGATTTATATTTTTGAGCGTTTTGTAGAGCGTTCGTTGAGCGTAGAACGCGCTACAAAACGTTCGGGTGTGAACGAAGGCATACAGGTTGAAATGGCAATTAAAGGTTAATTTACCACATCTGTGGCTTTTTAAATTGCAATTAGTGTCTGTGTATAAATAGTCAATGAGTTTGTTGGCTCTCACGTAGATGCACTGAGCAGACTACATACTGAGCCATTGGGAGCAGAAAAGAACTGTCAAAACACCTGCCTAACAAAGTAATGGAACTTTATAAAGTTGGAAAAGAATATAAAAAGTAAATGCCAGTCAGTACTGTTCAATCACTTAGAAGTGGAAAATTGGGGGATCTCTTGATAGCAAGCCAAGGTCAGGTAGACCAAGAAAGATTGCAGCCACAACTGCCAGAAGAATTGTTCGGGATACAAAGAAAAACCCACAGGTAACCTCAGGAGAAATACAGGCTGCTCTGGAAAAAGACAGTGTGGTTGTTTCAAAGAGCACAATACGACGATACTTGGAACAAAAATGAGCTGCATGGTCAAGTTGCCAGAAAGAAGCCTTCACTGCACCAATGCCACAAAAAAAGCCTGGTTACAATATGCTAGACAACAACTTGACACGCTTCACAGCGTCTGCCACAAAGTAATTTTGGAGTGATGAGACCAAAATACAGCTTTATGGACACAACCATAAACGCTATGTTTGGAGATGGGTCAACAAGGCCTATA